GAAAATTTGAAATTTTGCTAATTAGAGGTTTTTTCCCCAAGAAAGTAACATTAATTTGTGAATGGCATTTGGACATTTTGTTTAAATAAATGAAAATCAAATTTCTTGTTATAATAAAGATTATATAACTGATATCATGCTATAAAAATAAATTTCCTTCTCAAAATCATGTTTTAAAGTACATCATGTTTCAGGTTTTAAAAATTAAAAATATTCATGTGCTTGTTCAATTTTTTGTTCTTACACATTCAACTATGTCCTTCATATTTGGCATTTTGATTTATTAGGCAATCTTAGCATTAAAGACTTTTAGCAAAGCAGTACTAAATTTCAAATGCACTGTGCATAGTGTCCATGATGAATTAATTCCACTAGAGCACAAAAGTTATCATTATTTAAACGCTAGTTTCTTTCAGAAGTTTTATATCACACTCAAGTTTTCAAAATCAGAACTTAGCTGAAATTTTGAGGCAAACGTACAAGATTTCTTGTCACTTATGTATATTTACCTCAAACTTAACCATTTCTTGTGTGAATTTGCATAGACTATTTAGTAATATTTAATATTGATGATTTAAATATAATTAAGTAAATAAATATTTAGGAATATAACTTTCATGTTTTGACATATTTAGATGCTTTTGTCATATTTAGATAACAAAATTGTCATATTTAGATGTCTTTGAATATTTATATGCACATACATGTATATTTGGTTAAATAAAGTAGACACTGGAAGAAATCAGATTCTAGACATAAATGTCGTTTAATGTTACTGTAAGTAATTTTAAGGGAAAGCTCACAGAAATGCTTATAAATTTTTAACTTGTACTTTATTCTTAGTTTTTCAGGAAGTCATTTTCTCATCCATTTATTTTGATTAAATGGTAAGATGTCAGAAAAATGAGATTTAATACTAAGTCATCAAGATTATAAGATGGAATGTGCAAGTATGTAGATAGGAGTGTGGTGGAACGTAGAGCTTATTTCTCTCTTATTACCATCCTGAACATATGTAGTTGATCTATCCATCCATCCATCTGTCCATGTGCATATATACCACATACACAGACATACACACAAGGTAAAGAAAGGAGGTGGAGGTAGGTACAAAGAAAGAGAAAAGATGAGAGAGAAGACCAGAGAAAAGAAACTGTGTAAGCAACAAGGACCAATAGTGTCCCTGGTGGTAGTTGAGATAACACAGTTAACTGTACTGGCCCAGATCAAGTTTCAAACTTTTGAATATTTTAATGAATACAGAATAGAATATATGCAGGTTTCTGTTATCCCTCTGGCAAATGTCTATTTCAATAGTACAATTTTATACCAATGGAACCTATAACTCTAAGAGGGAAAAATAAAACTAACAAGTCTAGCATTCAGTACTACCCTATCATAAAGTAAGGAGGCTTAATTGAGCTATGTCTTTATATCCTGCTATTTGTACAAATAAAAGACTACATCTTGATGCAAAATAAACACAAAAGCACTGTTGTGACTATAACAGGGAGTCATATACTAATTTATATAATAAGTGGTTGTGCACGCTTTATTCAAGATTATGGCTGCAAGAAATGGCATGAATTGCTGGGTGTGTTTAATGCTGGATTATAGCAATTTGAAACATGTCAAACACATGGCTAATGCCTCATGCTTCACTCATTCTTGCGTAAACCTGCATAGCCACCATCCATTATACCCTTGGTAACAACACAATTCTGCAAGTAAATATTGTTACACTAAGTAACCTTTCAATTCAAGTTGTTTAGGAAGAGAAAATGCAATCTTGTGCAGTCAGTTCCAGTGTCAGTTTAATGTTTCAAAAGGGAAGTGGTGTAGAGAATAAGTATCTGTACAGTGACTTGCTTAAAAAAAGAGAGAGAGAAAGGAAAGAAAGGAAAACTTAATGCAGGGGAGAGAAGTAGAACTATATTTTGAATGCAAGATCTGAAGAGTTATTTTCTGATGTGGCTAAAAAGTTGTACATGATAAGGGATTTAAGAGTGTAACTAACAATTCAGACAAACATTAAAAGAGTTACTTTCAGTTTTACCTTTCCCTTTAATGATCTGAAATTTATTTTCACTGATTTTTGTAAAATGACCATGGTAGGATTGAAACAAATGAATAATTTAGTTTTATGTTTGTGATCACAAACACACTTTGAAAAAAATATACTGAATTTTGTAATTATTTAAAATATAATTTAAAAGGTAAACAACGCCTTACAATGTGCTAAAAATAGCTCCTCTAGTGGAAAATAGGTGTGGAGGTGTCACTAGGAGAAACTTGGTAAATCCTGGAAAGCATATTCATTATCCTTGAAGATAAGCCTCCTTTACAGTGGGCATATTCTGTATTTAAAGTTTTCTTCTTCAGGTAAAATATACATTGCAATCATCTAATTATACCATTTCCTTTCTTTTGGCATATTAATGATGGGTCATATACTTCTGTTTTGTAAAGAAAAAGTACAATCCCTGTTATTGTTTTTCTT